AAAAACAATCCCTAATATGTTACTCCGTCCTTTTAGTTCCTTCTCAACACTATATTGTATATTTACCAACAAAAAACAAGTGGACAACAACCCAAGCTCATATGTCTTCAAGCAACCAGTAAACAAAACCATGAAAGAACAAACTGTACCTTTATTGTTGTCATTGGCTAATATCACAATGAAGATGTATTTGAAGAGAGCAATGACAGTGAATGTCCAGAAAATAAAGGAAAGCACCCCATAAATCTCTTCATCATCCTCATGAAGGCTCAGCTTCCCGGAGAAGGTGGTCTTGTAAACATACAGAGGGGAGGTACTGAGATCACCATAAACCACTCCAAGGCTCTGATATGCTAAAGTAAGCACAGTGGAACATGACACCTTCTTCAAATTCTGATTACGCACACAAATTTTGATCACTATTCAAAAAATAAACACAAAGAGAATGCATAGCTTTTGATTGTGGAAAGTGGTTTTGCATCATTTAATTTTAGCAATTGCCCACCATAATTTTTTCTTGCAAACAATTTATCTCATAAATTTTAGATATTCCTTCCAAATTCATCCCAACCTCGATGGGACTGAATTCGCACACACATATATATTGGTCGACTTTCTTCCATTGGAAACCACTCTTCTAGTTATTCTTTCAAGATAAATCTATAAATAATTTTTTTTAATTAAAAAAAAACCCATTTATTAACTAACAGAGGTAAATTCCATCCAAAACCATTCATTAAATTGAACCCAAAATCAAAAGATAATAGGATTTGGGATCCCCAAGTATAGTAGTGTGTCCTTGTTCCCTTGGGTTTCTGTATGCATGTTATACCAGCAGTGCTTAAAAATACCAGTAGTGGTTGTCCCATCTTTCTTAAATGCAGGCTTTAGTTTTGCCAAGTCTGATATCGTTGCGTTTGGCCAAATTCTATCATCAACTGAGATCGTCACGGGTTTCTCATCTCCAGTTTTTGGATCAACAATCTTTTTAAAGAAACTATATACATATCAGAGCACAAATTTGTACCATACACAAACTTGGAAACAGTGAATGAGCAGCTAAAATTTGGTATCACAATCTTACTGAAACTGTAATAAAAATGTTGTACCTTGGTATCCACAGGGATTATTTCCTCTTTAAATTTACCAGAGGCAGTTGCAGTAGCAGCCTTCCTATGTGACTCAACCTAACAACACAGGTCAAGGAAATCAATAATGTGAGTAGTGTGACAACATTAGAAAATAAACAAATTGATAGATCATATATTTTAAAAAATAAATAAAGAACAGATGAGGCATCAAGATTGCTGACATATATCCAAGCCATTTTCCAATAATAGATGACCCTTACCAATATCATAAAATCCAGCTTTAGTAGCTGCAGCTACATCAGCAGCTGCCTGAAGACCAGAAGAACACTGCCTATTCACGGTTCTAATCGGCACAGTTTCTGGACAATGGAAATAAGATATATGTCAGCATTCAGCACTGCAAGGGAATGAGACCAAAAATCCTAAATAACACGTGCAAATAAATATTACCAGGGAAACCAGCATAAAATACAGGAACACTTTTCTTAATATACAATAAAAAATGCAGCTCATCCTCCTATATCCTCTTGATCAGATTGACAACCTTCATTTGTTGAGCTGGCACCATCTACCTCATTTACTTCATCAAGCATGTCATCTACCACTGCATCATAGTTTTGATAACGGATGCAGCTCATCTTTTCATGAATTTCAGATCTACAAGGATAATAAAAGAAAGCAATATACATATATATATATATATATATATCATTACAAAAGTATAACAATAATCATCAAATCGAATCACAAAGATATTGATGGAGGGATATTCCAACCAAAAGTTGGAGGTATGGAAGCCAATAAGAAAATTGGGAAAGCTAGTGAAGTGAAGATAGATTAAAGAGAGTAATTTTTGTTCAATACGTCAATATTATCTGCTAAATAAGTTGTAGTAATGAAAAATTACAAGTATTTTTAAATAGTTAATAAAGATCAGCACCTTACTGATGATTCTAACAAAGTATAGCCCAGAAATGTCCAGGATACATAACTAGACAACTTGCATAGCAGTAAACATTCTCATAAGCACAGCAAAAAAAAAAAAATTCACTGTGAGAACATTTTTCTGAGTTTTTTTACTGTTGGTTTCAACATGGAAATGTCCAGGACACATAACCAGACAACTTGCATAGCAGTAAACCTTCCAGAGAACATTTCTGGAGGGAAAAAGCGCAAACAGTCCTCAAAGCAGGTGAATCCTATTCTCAAACACTCATCAATTTTTTTACTGTTGGTTTCAACATGGAAACGATAAGACCTCTATTTTAAGGGTGTTCCACAGACATAACTACCAAAGCCCTAAGCTAAGGACCACACTAAAAAACAACGACCCGAAAAGTTTTAACACTGCTTCAGGGATGACAGAACATCACAGACCCAAGGGCAGTAATGTAAGACTGCAACCAAATTTCATATGTGTCCTTGTAAGATTGGCAACTTACATAATGGACTAGCCATAACTGTAAAAACACATTGATAAAATTATAATGATATTCGCTTTAATTTCATATTATAATCAACCTAGAGCACATACACTTTGTTCTTCAAAATGTGTAATCTATACGTTCCTAGAGAACAAATTCCTTCTAGGAAATTTATATCATCACTGAAGATGACAATAATGCTGATAAAATATAAATGTAATGAAACATTTTTAGAAAACTAGTTTATTTCATTGTTGGAGGTATTAATTTGCATGCTTCATTACCATTTAAAAAGTTAATAAGCCTCGATTTCTAACAGTCAAAATGATTTCTGCTAAATCAAAAACTGAAAGCTAACATATCATATTCCCCCAATCCAGTTCAGTGTATAGAATAACAATATGAGAGACAGAACTGTTCTTGTGATTATCTTAGTTCAGTTCGGAGGATGAATTTTGTATGGTTTTGGGCGAACCAATGTACTTCAATCTAACAAATAAGTGATATTATAGTCGAAACCAACATCATCAAGAAGAAATTGTTAGGCACACCATATTTCTGGTTATGACATACACAAATCAAGCACAATATCAGTTCAGCTTGAGAGAGAGAGAAAGAGAGATAGAGATAGAGACAATGGAGCTCACCGATTTGCATCGCTGAGATGAAATTCAATTTTGATTTCGAGAGAGAACTTTGAAATCGCTCTGATGAATCACCGATCTGTTTCCCTGAGACGAAGAAAAAAAGGTTCACCGATCTGTTTCTCTGAATCTCTGAATCACAGAGCTGAACTGACAAAGATAACTAGGGTTTAGACAGCACACACACACACACACAGAGTAGCTCACCGATCTGAATCGATTCACCGATCTGAATCGATTTTGAAATGGCTCTGATGAATCACCGATATAAGATCTTCGAAATGGCTGTGACTTCGATTTTGAAAGATCTTAGACAGCGCAGAGAGAACTTCAAAATGGCTCCGATGAATCACCGATGTAAGATCTTCGAAATGGCTGACTTCGATTTTGAAAGATCTTAGACAGCGTAGAAAGGGCGAGAGAGAGAGAAAGAGAGAGAGAGAGCGCGAGAGTGAGAGTGAGAGCGCGAGCGCGAGAGTTTCATTGTTGCTTAAAATAAAAATAAAACAGGAGAGAGGGAGTGTGATGGACAAAACCCATTCCACGGTGTTTAAAAGCGTCTTGTATTATTGAAACGGTGCCGCTTTGATTAGAGAAAAATGCGACGTTTATTAAACGCCGTTAAATATTATTAACGGTGGTGTTTTCAAAAACGCCGTTAAATATACGCCTCCAAAACAGATATTTCCTGTAGTGTCTATTTCTTTTTCTTTCTTTCTTTTCACGTTTTTTTGATCTCTCCTCCCCTATCTCATGGCCAATCCGTCGTCTTTTAGCTAACAAAATCAACCAAAATAATTTTTCATTTTCGATGTACACAAACATATATATATATATATATATTATACGGAGTTAAAATGTAATTAACTCATGAAAAATTGACATAATAGTTCATTAGTTAGTTTTCTTTTGAAATGAAAAATTGATATGGTTAGATAATTATATTTTACATGTATGATGAGCACTTATTATGGTGTTTTTTTCCCTTAACGGCATTAATCTTAAAAGGTAAAAAATTTAAGAGGTCTAACATATATTTTCTCTATCTTAAAATATTAGTCTTTTATTTTATTTTTTCTTATTCTAAAATATTAATTCTTTTTTAAACATAAAAGATAAAAATAATATAAATTTTTTATTTTATTCTTCTTTTAAATTCATTAACATTAAGGGAAATAATCTAGACCCCAGCACCCCCACACTTTTGTGAGAGAGGGAGAGGAAAATTCTCCACATTTGTGCAAAACAGCATTTGTTCTTTCATAAAACTGTAGGGTCCACCCCCGATAAATGTGAACAGTAGAACAAGGGCCTATCTGAAGCTATGTAGGTTCTAGACTGTAAAAAAAAAGAAAAAAAAAGAAAATTTGACCAATGGGAGACAGAGGGGGTCAAAGGGGTGGGGGGAAAAGGGGGTCTAAGTCTTTTTTCTTAAATAAATCATCAAAATAAATAAGTTTAACAACATTATTATTGATCTCACTCATTAATTACATTATAAATACCAAAAACCTTTGAAATTATGATACATCATCAATTGGTGCACTAATTAGTACACCAATTAAGGTCTACATTCTACATATTAGGGTCCAAATTTATTATCATTCTATATTATTCTCTCATCCTAAAATATTAGTTTATTTTGGGAAATTTAATTTTTTTTAGTAGTACAATTATTATACTTAAAAAAATAGAATATCTTAAAAGTTTTCCAAAACTACCCTTTGGTAATACATTTTTTTTAGGAATATCAATTGTCATATATGTACTTTTTTTATTGTTAATAAATTTAAAATAGGGGCAACATAGGAAATTTATTTGTTATTTTAGTCTTTGATTTTTGAAAATGGACTAATATTTTGGGTGATTCTACTTACACCGCTATTTAACCTCTTTATACCCTTCATATTATTACACTACTAAAAAAAAATGTAATTCTCATTACACCTCAAATATATTACCAAAACTAACCTTAAATTAACTATTTCATCTCTTTACACCACTAATTTTGGTAACACAGTGCTAAATAATAATTTACATTATTCCGGTGTGTTGCTGCAGTAAAAAATAAATCTCTCTAGCATGTTGTTGCTATACATTTATAGAGTCACTTTCTTCCAAAAAATGATTTTTTAATTTGTGGTGGGCCTGTTCGATAATACAACGCTAATTAATTTGAATTATTCCAGTGTCATGTTACCAAACAATATTTTTTTTCCCAACATTATATTGCCATCCAATTAGATGATAATAAGAAATTCATTTGGGCCACTTGTGAAGCGTCTGTTCAGTGATACATTGTTATACAAATGAGATTACTCTAGTGTCATGTTGCTAAACTACAATAGAGTTGTCTAGGCCGCCGTCGCTATATATTGAAAGATTTATTTTTTCCTTGAAGCATCCATAAAAAAATTCATAAATCAAACACACATCCATAAAATCATACATAAAAAGTATCCATAAAATTATTCATAAAGACATCAAGTGTACGAATATTCATAAAGTATCCATAAAATCTATCATTATTTGTATCCATCAATCAAACATGTTATCACAATTCGTTTTGGTAATTTATAGGTAATTTTTTCCCCTTAATAGAAATAGACATCCACACTTTTTAAAACCTATCAATCTCAATAGTTCCCAATTGATTTTCCTGTTGTCTCTATAGTAACTACTTTTTTCACAAGCAAGTGTAAGTCTTAGTTTTCTGCCATTACCTCTTGCATTTGATGTTTTTATAACAATGACAAATCCAGTCTTCTTCCCAACATTAGAAGCCCATTTAATTAATATTTCATGACTACTAAAAATCTAAAGATAATAAATACATTTATACGTTAAATTAATAATAAAACTCAATACAAATTAAAAATAAAAAAATCATATTCATAAAAAAAAACTTAACAAATCTCGTTTGTAATGAATTCATAACTAGAGTCCACTAATATTGTAGTACTTGCGTTGTTGTAATGAGTATAAGTATAATCCTTTCAGGCAAAAAAATGAAAAATATAAAAAAAATAAAACTGAAAATATATAGTAATGAGAAACCGAACAAATTAAAAAAAATTCAGTTTGGGATTACCGAAAATGTATCTTTTATTCAGTAGTTGGTTACCAGATTTATATTTTTTGTTCGGTAATGTGATGTCGGACTATTTTATTTTGTTTGATTTCGAACCACTGAACGAAATTCGAACACCAATCCAGAAAAACGAAACAAAAACCTACCAAATAAATTAAAAAAACTCACAATTTCACTTTTTTGATGGTTCTTCATCACTGTTTCTTCATCCATTGCTTTCTTTAATAATCAAAATACTATGATTCTCACTTTTTGAAAAGAGATATGTAAGAGAAAAGAAAAATTAAGAAAGAAAAAAAGGAGTAGGGATTGAAGACCAAGGAGTGTAAGGAGATAACAAAATATATTTAGGGTTGGTTTGAGATGTTCTAAAAAAGTGTACTTTTTGACTTATTAACTTATATGGGTTGGCTATGGGTTGAGTTTGATGTGATGTGTTAGAGAGGTGATGTGATTTAAATAAGATGATGTGACTTAAATAGGATAGTGACTTTTTGACTTTTTATATTATTTAGGTTATGCCAAACTTGGCCTTAATTTTAGTGTTTTGTCCTTAAAGGTAATTTCACACATGGATAAAATTGGGAAGGAAAAAAAAAAACTCATATGAAGGGTGTAAAGAGGGAAAGTGGTGGTGTAAATTATTTAGGTTATGTCAAACTTGGCCTTAATTTTAGTGTTTTGTCCTTAAAGGTAATTTCACACATGGATAAAATTGGGAAGGAAAAAAAAAACTCATATGAAGGGTGTAAAGAGGTAAAGTAGTGGTGTAAGTAGAATCACCCAATATTTTAGGACAATGAAAAATTGAATAAGGAACTAATATTTTGGTATAGAGAGAGTACTTTTTATGTATAGATTTTTTATTATTAGTTTGACTTCTCTCATATTAGTCATCTTAATATGAGAGAGTGTTTGGGTTTAATAGTTCCATTTTAGAACTAACTTTGGGGATTCAAACCGTTCACTTTTTAGGACTCACCGAGTAGAATATTCATTCAAAATAATTAAGATAATTAGATATCGGTAATTATATATTTGAATCAAAATTACATGACAAAAAATGGATAACTATTTTTTAAATTATATTTGTTGTCCGTTTTTTAAAAACAAATATGATTCAAATATATAGTCAATAATCTTTATTTTTTACATGAATATTTAGCTCAACAAGTCTTGAACAATGAAATGTTCGGATTACTGAAATCGTTTCGAAAATAGATCTACTAAATCCAAGCCCTCTCTCAAATTGAGATGATAACTTAAGAGAAGTCAACCTCTTTATTTATATATCACTACTCATAACTTAGGCCTCATTTGGGAAGATGTTATTTTAATAACTTTTTAATTTTTTACGAAAAGATATACAAAAAATTAGATAGAGTGATATAACAACTTAGAATAATTTTTTAATTTTTTAACTAAAATGTATAATTAACAAATAAGGCTAATTAGGAAACCCCTTTAATGAAATGGATTCATTGATTTCACACTCAAGGGTTCCAAAAACTAGGCCAGCAGAATGCATATATGACATGATCTCCCTAGCCTCTTGCATTATTGAGCTTAATATTCAAACAAATTTTCACTTGTACATTTTGTTATTAGCAAGGTATTTAGACCATAGATATGATGGAGCACTCGTTCATCTTTGTGTCAATAATAACAACTCAATTGCTTCTCTTTGCTGGTAAGATTCCAAATTACCTTGTCAACACATATTTGTGGGTCTGAAAATTGATTTTTTAGTGTTTTTTTTTGAATGAATAATATTTTGCTTAATTTTTCAACCAATCAAACAATTGAAATGGGTGAAATATTAAAGAAATAACAGTACAGGGTAGAAGACCAAAAAAAAAAAAAAAAAAACTAAAAAAAATGGTTTTTTATTTTTGGTCTTTATCTTTAGTGAACTTTATTATTATTATTATTATTTATTTTTTATATCATTCTACACAAGACGAACTTGAAAATTAAAAAAAAGAAAAGAAATAGGTTTACCTTCTTTTTTTTTTGGGTTAAGCTTTTCTTACTATTGTGTTTGAATCATAGATATTTAAAGGGGGAAAAATGAAAATAAATTTTTCTTAATAAAATAAATGTGTACACTTTTTGTATTCTTTCTTTTCTTTCTCTTCACAAATTATTCTATAATTTTAAAATCCAAACAAAACTTACAAAAAGCCAGTCCAAAAATGATTGGAATCGCTCTATTTGATTTTGTTTTTTAATTTTTTTCCTTTTTTTCAAAAAATATAAATTAGTTTGGCAAAAATAAACACAAGAGAAAACTATGAAAATATTGAGTTTGTTTTATCTTTTAATAATTGTATTCACTAAACTAGTTTTTAAGAAATTAGAAGTGCTGCCAAACAAGTTGAATCCATTTGCAACACCAAAATAACACACCAAAATATATTCACACAATAAAAAATAAATAAATTATATATTTCATTTTTAAAAAATTAGTCCCGCCTATTTGTGTCGTCACTAGCATTAAAGGTAGTAAATAATTGCTCCTCTTTTCCATTTTCGTGTCCGCAAATTTGGCTTCAAGCTCTCGACTCTTAAGGCCAATCATGCGTATTTTTTAACTAGAGTATAATTTTTTATAATAGATTTATGTGCTCATAATAGAACTATTGTTATTGTGATATTGCAAGTGTCGTCCACATCAGCAGGGGCATAGCCAAGTGTATATCAGTAGGTTCACTAAAACCCACTCAACTTTATAAAATTAAAGATAATATAACATCATGCAATTTTTTTAAGAAGTTTTGTAAAGTGACACCACTCAAATTTGTCAAAAAAATAGAGTAAAGCTCCATTTATTATGTATATTTTTATCATATTTTATTTACTATATTATGTAGCATAACCAATAGTTAAGACACTCATGTGAGATTCATTATCATTATGAATCTAATATATTATATGCTAAATAAAATACAACAAGTACGGTATTATTGTCATAATAAACATAATGGTATCATTTTTTTAGAGAGAGAACTTAGATAAGAGACTCTTTATTCTGAGCGTAAAATTTTTAGATTTTTACATGATATATATACACTTTTATCACGAGAAGATTTATTTTGTCTTTACTTGGTTCAATTGATTAAAATTCACAAGTCTCTCTTTAGTTTTGTGAAAGCAGTACCATGTTAATTTTTTTAAGTTTTATTAACATTATTATTGCGAATATATAATTTTCTAATACACTACATGAAAATTTATTTTTAAAGTAAGACATTGATATTAACTAATTAGAGCATCAACATCAGTGTCTTCAAAATAACAAAAAAGTTAAAATATAATTAATAAATCAACAATGATAGAGATCACTAATTTTGGAGCTCTAAAAGGACCACTAATGACATGACACTCAATAAAAAAAGAAAAAAAATACAACACCAAGGCCAAAACATCAAATCATTCCTGGTGGGGCCCACTGTCACATCATTAGTAATAGCACTAATTAGTGCTCTTACTCATTTTTCTTAATAAATCATCAAATTCTCTCTCCATCAGTCTCAACAAATTTTTTCTAAATTAATTTTTTGTTAAATTTGCTATAGTAACTCGTCTAATGAAGTAAGCAACTGTCCATCGCTAAAACACGCGATTTGGGTGTAACCGGACATCCGCCCGGAAGTCCGGCCAGTCAACCGGTCAACGGCAAATTTTTTTTTTTTTTTTTTACATTTCCTTCAGTTTTACCTTTTGTAAAATATAAAAATTGTTTGGTTGATAGCTCATCAATTTTTTTATTAAAAAAAAAAATAACAAATATTTTAACAGGATTAAGTTAAAATAGAGAGTTTGATATAGTGGGTAACTAGCTAAAATAGAAAAATAACATTTTAAGTTATAATTTAATTAAAATTTTGAAAAGACTGATACTGATGTTCTTACTTGACACCACTGGACAGATATTCTGGCTCAGCCGCTGCCACTGAACATCGGGATCAACTATGGGAGGCTTGGAAACAATCTTCCAGCTCCAAGAGACGTAATAAACCTTTACAATAGGTGTGGAGTTGGATCCATCAGGATTTATGATCCAAACCCTGAAGTTCTTGAAGCGTTGAGATATTCAAATCTTCGAGTCTCAGTCGGTACCAGAAATGAAGATTTACCGAGCCTTGCTTCAAGCCAAGCTGCTGCAGATGCATGGGTTAACACCAATGTTGCTCCTTACAGCAACAATGTCAACTTCAATTGGATCACTATAGGAAATGAGGTAAAAATCTTGCCCACTCATCTCGAATCATAATAATATTAAAAAAATATTAGGGTGTGTTTGGTAACGTTTACGTTTTCAGTTTATATTTACAAAAATTTTATAAACTGATTTTTGTTTATTTTTAAAAAAACATAAACTACAAACGCGTTTGGTAATTGACAAAATGTTTTAAAAAATTTAAAAATATAAAAAAGAGTGAGAAATGGCAAGTGGCGGCGAAAGACGGTGGTGGAAAGTGGTGATGGTGGGTGGCGGGTAGCTGGTGGTGGTGGTGGGTGGGTAGGTGATGGTGGCAGGTGGTAGTGAGTGGGTGGTGGTGGTGGGTGGGTGATCGGTGGCGGGTGGTGGTGGTGGTAGTGGGTAGTGGTGGCAGGTGGGTGGTGGGTGGTGATGGTGGGTGGGTGGGTGACGGTGGCGAGTGGTGGGTGGTAGCAGTGGTGGTGGTGGTGATGGGTGGTGGGTGGTGGTGGTAGGTGGGTGGCGGGTGGGTGATGTGGTGGTGGTGGGTGGGTGGTGGTGGTGTGTGGGCGGGCGGGTGACAGGTGGCTAGTGGTGGTGTGTGGCTGGTGATGGTAGGTGGGTGGTGAGTGGTGGTGGCAAGTAGGTAGCGGGTGGTGGCTGGTGGCTGGTGGATGACAGGTGGGTGGTGGTGGTGGTGGTGGCGAAGGGTAGGTGGTGGTGGCGAGTGGGTGGCAGGTGGGTGGTTGGTGGTGGTGGTGGCCGTGGTGGGGTGGTGGTGGCAGGTGGTGGTGGGGGGTGGGTGATGGGTGGTGGCGCGAAAGATGCTGATTTTTGTTTTGCTGCAACAGAGAGCAAGAAAGGGGCATAGCAATGTATTTGCACAAATCAAAACAAAAGCACATTTTTTGAGGTTACATTTTTTGGCCAAATTTATAAACTGAGACCACTAATTTATAAATCAAAAATTTTACCAAACAAGTTTTTATTTTAGTTTTTAAAATTTTTGCAAATATAAAAAGAAAATTGAAAACGTAAGTGTTACCAAACGGCACCTTATAAATCACAAAAATTTTATTAAATTTTTTATCAAATATTTTACATGAGTGTGGGACCTATCCCATGTAAATCCCACACCTATATGAGACATTTACGTTGTGTTTGGTTCGAAGATTTGAGAAAAAATTTAGAAATAGAGAAAGGGAAAATATAGATAAAATGTGAATAAAATGTATCTATATTTAACCTAATTTCACGTATCTTTGCCCTTTCTTTTTCTAAACCCCTTCTCAAATTCTCTAACTAAACACAGCGTTAATAGAAAATTTAATAAAACTTTTAAGTATCTAGCATTACTCATAATGTCACTAATTTTTTTTTTTTTTTAAAAAAAAAGCGCAACAAATCTTTTTGTCTTTAGCTTCTTCTAATCTAGTTGAACCTAGAGTGAACGGTTTTTTGAATTTTTTTTTACTAAAATGAAAAAAAAAAAGTCAATAAAAAGCTCTAAATAAATAATTGTCAAAGTAACCCTAACCTGAGAAACAGTTAAGGGAAGAGGTAAAACTTTACAATGATATTATAATTATAGATTGTTCATTTGTGTTTTGATGACGTGTTATAATCTTATTAAGTGAAATAGAGATCTTCATTTTATTTATGAAATGAATAGGATGAAAATCCTAAATGTGAGGATGTAATCAGTTCGGTACGGGTTAGCATTTAGGTAAAAAAAAATTATTGAATCGATAATATCAGTTTTATTATTTTAAATACTGATACAAATAGTTTCTCCCATCAAACCACACCAATTGAAACAGTTCGGTTAAATGTGATTTAACTGGTTTAATATCTTTCAAATTTAAGCCATTTTTTCATTTATGTAAAAATATTGAATTAGCCTTTTGTCAAGCATTTCAAACATATCCTATACATCCATTTAATGAAAAATTTACAATTTCTAGATTAACAAAAATAGAAACAAAAACTAATAATAAATATTAAGACTTCAAGAATAGTGGGTTAAGATTAAGATTATATATAATGAGGGTATACTAATTAATTGACATTAATGAATTAATTATACATATTAACATTATTATATTATTAAATTATATATATTATAAATATAATATATGTTGAAGTGCTCGGTTTTAGTTTAATTCGTTACATAAGGTGCTTAAACTGATATCAAATAAAAAATCAAATCAAATTTAAAAATTACACAGACCAATTTTTGTTAAAAAACGTGTTAAATATGAATGGTTCAATTCGATTCAATTGATTTGATCGATTTTTCTTACCTCTTTAATTATACTGGTAATTAAACCGTGCATAAACAGTAGTTTATATATAATAAAAAAAAACGCAGAAGAAGAAAATATTCGAAACATAAGTTTTGAAGTTAAATAGGGAAATTGCTTTGGAGCTCTAAAAATGTAGTTCTAAATTGGCATTAAATTGTCTTTTTCCTCCCTTTGTTTTGTCTTTTTCTACTTTTTTTTTTTTTTTTTTAAGGGATTGCTAGCACAGTAAAGCTGCTATTAGTAGAGCTCTCAATCACTTCCGATTAAATAGTGCATATCAAAACCCTAATCGTAAACTAACTTACAAACTTTTCTTACTAACTGATGTATGACGGGATGTTACAGGTAATCCCGGGACCTTATGCCACAAACGTTGCACCGGCCATGATCAACATCCAAAATGCTCTCAGATCGATCGGCCTAACCGGGACAAAGGTGACAACAGTCACTTCTTTCGGCATCATAGCCAATTCTTTCCCTCCCTCCGCAGGAACCTTCACTAGTGAGACAACTGAAGTGATGACAAATGTGGCATCCGTTTTGAAGCAAACCGGTGCACCCATCATGCTCAATGTGTACCCATATTTCGCCTATGCCTCGAACCCGGCTGAGATTTCATTAGAGTATGTCGGCTTCAATGCAATAACACCAGTTGTAGATGGGCAATTCCAGTACTTCAATCTCTTTGATTCCATGGTTGATGCTTACAATGTGGCCTTGGAGAAGATTGGTGCAGGCGATGTTCCCATTGTCGTGTCAGAGACCGGTTGGCCAACTGCTGGGAACAGTCCTTTCACGAGCACAGACAACGCCCAAGTGTACAACATAAACCTTGTGAATCATGTCAAGAGGAACGGGACGCCGAGGAAGCCTAGCCAGATCATGCACACTTTCATATTTGCACTGTTCAATGAGAATCAAAAACCTGAAGGGATTGAGCAAAACTGGGGACTCTACTATCCCAACATGAGCCGTGTTTATGGATATCTTGATTGTTAAACTTTACTTTTGTATTTAACAAGTTAACACAGTTAATAAATAAGAACTGACCATGGTTTTAAGTTCAAAAATCAAGCTCTGAGAAAACAAATGTATATATTCAAGTATGTGTTGTTCTTGGGGCCCAAACTTTCTTTCAGTTGTTTCTCTTGATTAAGAATCTATGCAAGTGTTATTCCATCAAATGATTGATTTCATCTTTCCAATTTTTTTTTTTTTTTTTCTAAACTGATTTCTTCTTTTACCATCTTATTCATTTTAAATCAGTGGCTGCCAACATGAACTGCCGGATACAAAAGACTTCAAAAAAAAAGACAAAATAGAAAGAACTTCATGCCTTCTGAGAGGGTAATTTTTGGGAAAAATTGGGCCGAGCTTCGAGTTGGGCTTTAAGGCCCAAAACACGAAGGATTAAGTAAAAAGGCCGTAATGGATACTTCGGCCTAGGGGGCAAGGTTACTCCGGTCTTGAGGAGACAAAGTTACTTCGGCCCAAGGAGGTGAGGTTACTCCGGCTCATGAAGAGATAGATGCTTTGGCCCAAGGAGAAGTAAAGCTACTCCGGTCCGTAGGCAACTCGGAATTAGGCCGGTCTCAGAGTTAGTCCGGCCGCAGTATGTTCTGGGAAGGCCGGTTTTGGAATTAGTCCGGTCGTGACGTACTATGGTTAGGTCGGTCAGACCTTGCTACTTGGAAGTTTGAGCTCGCCAAGGTTGAACAGGGACAGCCGAAGTAAGGAATTAGAGGAGAAGACCGAGCTATGGACGGTTCGGCCCTCTGTGGCTCGGTATAGCCAATTTACTTCGGTTACATGGAAGTTCGGCCGTGGAGGAAACCATCCCACTTGGTTTAAGCAGTGGGGGAGGGTGTAAAAGGATAAGCATTATCCTTAGGAGATTGAATCCTAGGAGGACTCTGCATGGAGAAATATGAGTCCTACTAGGATTGTGCCATATGAAACTTATAAAAGCTCACAAGCAACACCTTGAAGGAGGTAATTGAACACAATCTTTCTGAGAACTTAGAGCTTTGTCTATTTGTCAAGTTTTCTGACTTAGGCATCGGAGAGGTTTCCGGCACACACCCGCCGGCTAGCTCACGTTTGTGTTTTCAGGTGACAAAGCGACGTCGTACGGAGGAGCGTGGACTTGGTCAACAGGATTATACGAGGAGAATTATTTCCTCCCCGTACACCTTCTATTTCTTTTCCCTGTAAAATTGACCACTGGCCAGAAGAACACCGCAAAGCTTTTCTGGCTAAATTTTAACGTCTCAAAAATAAAAAAAAATAAAAAAAATAAAAAAAAAGAGGAAAAATAAATTTACCCAATGGCTTTAATCTTAAAAGGTATAAAACTTAAGAGGCCTAAAATATAACATTGTTCATGAAAAATTGACGTGATCAGATAATCACATTTTTCATATATGGACATATTTTTTCCCCCTCAATGGCTTTAATAAAATATAACATTAAATATTAAAAATTGGATAATGTTAAGGCACATGCTGTAAGACTAAATTTAATTACATGATATGACAATATGGAATTATAGTCATAAATTTAATAAGATTATAATTCCATATTTTAAGAGGAGATTTATTAAGAAATTCTTTTTCAAATACTTGTATCCCAATTAGTCTATAATATATATTTATATTCCAATAAATCCTATTTTTTATATTTTTTTATATTTTTTTGATTAGTCAAAAGAAAACATATTGATGAATAAAAACATACAACGTATGGAAATACATTAATAAATGAAGAAGAAGTGCAAAAAGTATCATGAAACACCAACTCAATCCCAACTAGGTTGGCAACGAGAAAGGTAAAGAGAATTAAAATTGATTCATTGAATATTTTGTTACAAAGTTACAACACTTATTTATACAAACTTACACCAGCTAACTCTATCAAAACTAACTACTAACTACTAGACTTAACTATAGTTAAGTTCTAACAAACTAACTAACTAACTGATTACAACACTTATGCTTGATAGCACGTGTATGCAGATGTAACTGTGGCTGTAGAGACAGTTGTAACTGTGGCTATATATGTGGCTGCCTTGACTGTGATTGCAACAGCTCAAGCTTGGGCTTCGATGATGAAGACTCAGATATTGATCGTTCAACTTGCTTATCATTCCTCCGCAAACTAGAAAGACTATGAAGAACAGAGAATTTGTGCAGAAGATATTGAAACCAAGAAATAGACAAGGGCTTTGTGAAAATATCTATAATCTGGTCAGTGGTGGAAATATAGCTAATGTTAAGCTTCTTGGCTTCCACTCTTTCCCTGACAAAGTGATAGTCGACCTCTATGTGCTTGGTACGAGCATGAAAAACAGGATTCTTAGTCATGGCAATAGCAGAGAGATTAGTACACCAAATAGTATCTGTAAGTATAGTAATATGAAGCTTAGATAAGAGCATGCCAAGCCAACTAAGCTCAGAAGAAGTCTATGCCAAAGCCCTGTGTTCTGCTTTAGATGAAGACCTGGACACTGTTGGCTACTTCTTAGCAGTCCATGCAATCAAGTAAGGCCCGAGATAAACACAGTAACCAGTGGTTGATCTTCTATAATATGGATCACTAGCCTAATCAGAATCAGAGAAAGCATTAAAAATAAGAGGACCACTAGAAAAATGAAGACCATAAGATAAAGTGCCCTTAAGATATCGAAGCAATCTTTTGACGGTAGCAAAATGACTATTGGAAGGAGCTTGCATGAATTGATAGGCATGGTTGACTGTAAAGGCCAGATCAGGTCTAGTAATAGTCATGTATTGAACAGCACCAACCAAACTTCGATAAAGAGATGGTTGAAATCATCAGTGGAAAAGGAGTGAGAATGCTTAGCAGCCATAAGAGAGGAGTATGGCCTACAAGAATTCATGCCAGCTTTAACTAAAATGTCTGAAGCATATTTGTGATGAGAAAGAACATACCTAGTGGCTGTAGTGACAACTGAAATGCCAAGGAAGTAGCTGATGAAGCCAAGTTCTTTCATAGAGAAAACAGAACACATGCTTGAATAAGAGTTTGAATATAAAGAGAATCACTCCATGTGAGAAGAATATCATCCACATATATGAGAAGAATGGTAATGGATGTGGAGGTTTTCTTAACAAATAAAGAGGAGTCACAATGGCTAGGAATGAAATCCTGAGTGAGAAGAAAATTAGAGAAAGTAGAGAACCAGGCTCTAGGAGCTTGTTTCAAGCTATAACGGGCCTTCTTGAGTATACAGACAAATGATGGTTGATTTGGATTAATAAAGCCTTGTGGTTCATGCATATAGACCTCTTCTTCAAGAACACCACGTAGAAAAGCATTGGAAATGTCCATTTGCTTAATTTGCTAATTGAAATAAAGAGCAATACAGAGTAGAATATGAATAGTAGTGTACTGACCCCAAAATGCGTATAAGAAATCATCTTTATTTAACTATAAGATTATGTGTTTTAATTTAATTATATCTATTGGAATTGAGGAATTATCTGTTGAGTTATGACTTTAAAACTAGAATTGACGATCTTTATGGGTTCAGAAATCGGAATTGAGAACATAGTTATGTTAATGGAAATTTTTAGAGCTATTTGGAAAAATTAATTAGAAATTTAATTTGTCTGATTCTTGGGAAAATTAATTAGAAATTTAATTTGTCTGATTCGTTAATGCATGTTTAGGTGGTTAACTTTGTACTACAAATTGAAGGCCTTAGAGACTTCAGAAACCAGAACAGAGGACATATTCATGATCAGCATAATTTTTAGAATCATCTGAAAAGTTTAATTGAAATGTGATTTTGTGCGATTCGTAAGAGCGTGTTTGGCCCTTCCTATTTGTGGAAAGCTTATATATATATATATATATATATGCCATGTGAGTTGTTGAGCTTATCACTTTGGGCCAAAATATCTAAAGGAGAGAGGAAAGTGAACCGTGAGAGAGAGAGAGAGAGAGAGAGAGAGAGACCAAGATTCTTGAAGAAAAGCTCAACAATCATGGGGGTTTGAAGATGATTAAAGAGAATAGAAGAGAGAGGAAGAAGATCAACGATGAAGCTTGGGGAAATTGAAGAGATTAAGGGGAAAAACAAGGATTTGGGTTGAGGTATGTGGCTTTAACTATTATCTTTGTAGATAATTCATCTACTACATGAAATCAAGGATTAACTTGAAAGTTTAATATGTAAATGAATAAGTGTTTTGGGTTATGAATGAAATGGGTTGAATTCAAGGAATTGAACCTTGATTTCCTTAAATTTGCTTGAGTTGAATTCAATCTTAAGGATGATTCATGGAATAACAACGTTGGGTGTGAGAATCACCCATGTGTAAGATGTATTTACATGACTTTGGACATATATTATGGAAGTTGAATATATATAGAAAAGATGAGACTTGAAGTTTTAGCATTAAGCAAGATTGATGTAATTGAGATGAAATTCTATTTGAATGATGTTAGTTTGTTATGTTTGGAAGGAATTCTATATGTTTTTGAGTGATTAAAGTTGAAACCAAGCTTTGAAAATGGAAAAAACAAGTGTTGGAGCCAACTAGAATTTCGGACAAAAAAACTGACCCAGAGCCACATGTGCGGCGGGTCTTCCTGCACGTGCGGCAGTCCATTTCCAGCCCCAACTTCGATTCTGCTAAAAAAGCATGTTCTCCCGCACGTGCGGCCCTGTTCCCCGCACGTGTGGGAGACAGTTCTGTTCAGCCAACTTTGAATAAGCATATCTTTTGCCTCCGGACTCCATTTTCAGTGATTCTTGAGCCTAAAATCAAGCCCCTGAAGTCTAGTTTCCAATGGTGGTGGTTTCACTCCCAAATTCTAAATACCAAAATAGTTATACCCAAATTAGTGGAGACTGTTCACTTTCTGTCTACCGATTTTGTACCATTTCTTCGCTTAAACCATTTTCCATCGATTCCTCCTATTTTCTAAGACATGGATTATAACTTATTAAGGAATAATGAGCTTGGTACCAC